ATAGACATGGGAAATGGTTAAAGGCTCCATGGGACCTGGTTGCTCATTTGCTGTGGACGTTGGAGAAGATGTGAAGCTCTAATGACTAACGTGGTACCAAGGGCAGAAGAAGGGCATGCTCTCCACAGCCACGCAGCCATCAGGTGGCAGGGGTGGGGCGTCATCGATGGATTCTGCACAGTCTCTGCCCTTAAGGAACTCACATTCTCTTTTTTCATCCTCGGCTCTTCAGGAAAGGCCCTAAGAAGCCATCGAAGATACGTCATGGAGGAAGCCATCGAGGAAACTTTGTAACCGGCACTTTACCTATATTCTCAGAAATCCTCAAAATAACCAAAGGAGCTCTGGGACCAGCTGCTCAGGGCAGGGGACTCTGAGCTCCACAGCACTCCAGGTTTCCTCCAGGGATGTCTAGTCCAGGGCACCAAGTGGACAGGCAAACAGACAGGCTGGTGAAAGCCCTGTGGGGGCATGAGGTCCAGCCTTTGGCCGGAAATCAGCCTGTGCTCTAGCTATCAGAGAACTGAGCAAGGACAAGGACTCCCTTCAGCAAATGAGGCAGAGAAGGGTTTCGGGACACGGGGGAGTTTGGTTTTGGCTGTGTTGAAGTTGACAGGATGATGAGGCCCTGATACAACAGGTAGATCCAAGCTTGGGTGACAGGTCAGGGCTTGAGTCCAAGGCTTGGGGTCGCCTGCCAGGGACCGTGATTTGAGGCCACTGTTCAAGTTTTTTTTTTTTTTTTTTTTTAGACAGAGTCTCACTCTGTCACCCAGGCTGCAGTGCAGTGGTGCAATCTTGGCTCACCGCAACCTCCGCTTCCCGGGTTCAAGTGATTCTCCTGCTTCAGCCTCCCGCGTAGCTGGGATTACAGGTGCCCACCACCAGGCCCAGCTAATTATTTTTAGTAGAGACGGGGTTTCTCCATGTTGGTCAGGCTGGTCTCAAACTCCTGACCTCAAGTGATCCGCCTGCCTCGGCCTCCCAAAGTGCTGGGATTACAGGCATGAGACACTGCAGTCAGCCAAGTTCATGGTGCTTTAGAGCAAAGTTGACATTTGTACCTCTTAAATTTACATTGCCTTCTCAACCAGTTTATCTGGGAGGAATAACAAGCTGCCATATGCATACTGATGAGAAAGGAGGTGGGAGAGGCATTTGATCATCAGTCAACTTATGATTATGGACACCCAATCAAGAAAGAAACGTGAAGTCAGTGTTCCTGAACATGAAGAACAAGACCAGGGCTTGGGTTTTGGAGTCACATGGACTTTTTTTTGTTCCAGCTCATTTGTCTTTTTGCCCATTAATAAATTAATCTAGACTCTAGATTCCAGAGCCAGTTTGATCTCTTTCAGGAGGGCCTGTGTCAGTTTGGCTCTGACCTTCTGATCCTGAGGGTTGGTACTAAGTGCTACATACTCATTCACTGAGCAGTGTGTTAATTCTAGGGTTGCTGTGTTGAGCGAGACAGACTCGATTTCTACCTTCCAACTCTAAGAAGCAAGTGAAGTAGGTCCCTAGAGAAATGTCAAGTAATTCAGGGAAAACCCTAGGGGTCATCCATATTGAGAATGGAGGCAGACGCTGTTGTCTGAAAGTTTATGTCCCTCAGAACTTGTATGCTGAAACCTAACCTCCAAGGGGATGGATGGTATTAGAGGTGGGGGATTGGGTCATGATGGCAGCACCCTCATGAATTGAATTAGTGCCCCTTATAAAAGAGAGATCTCTTGCCCCTTCTACCATGTGAAGACACAGTGAGCCAGGAAATACCTGCATTAGAAAGCAAATCTGTCAGTGCCTTGAGCTTGAACTTTACAGCCTGCAGGACTGTGAGAAATAAATGTCTGTAGTGTTTAAGCCACTCCATTTATAATATTTTGATTTAGCAACCCAAACTACTAAGACAATGGAGGAATAGTAGCCAAGAGAGATACAAAAGAAGTTACGGGTAGAAGAACAGGAGTCAAGGAAGCTGGGGAATTCAAGGAAGATGGATTACTCACCAGGGTCAAAAGCAGGAACTCAATCAGAAGAACAAGAGCTGCAGAAGAGTCAATAGAATTGGCTGTCAGGAGGTGACCAGCTTCCTTTAGGGGAGCAGCTTCAAGAGAAAAGCAGGCAGAGGACAGATGTTCAGGGCTAAGCAGAGTGGGCATGGGGAGGCAGGCAGGCCCTTTCGTACACTCCTCAGTGAAGAGGAAGCAGCGTAACCCACCGGGTGCTGTGGACTAAGGTAAGTGTTTAAATATAGGGAAGCATGGACAGAGGGCAACTGGGAAAATGGCTTTTACTTAGATTGTTTTAAAGAACAATCTGGACTACCAACAGGAGAATAGAAAAATAGATTATGAGGTAGACACAAGATAGAAACTTCATGGCAGTTAAAAAATAATGAATTACTGCAATAGACAAACAATATGCATGAGTTGTACAATTTTGAGCAAAATAATACATAACGTATGATTCCATTTATGTGAGCTTTAAGAACAGGCAAAATAACACATAATGGTAGAGATTAGAATAATAGTAACCTGGACATGGGGCAGATGTGAGCTGGGAAGAGGGGCTGGAAGTGTTCTAGAACAATTCCAGTCATGTATCTGTATATAAAAATTCACCAAGTTGCACATTTGTGCACATAACCATATAAATCTCAATGTTTCAAGTCTTTAAAACAATGAACAGGAGATAGACACATTCTTATCTCTTGCGGAGTAACAAATTACCTCAAGACTTAGCAACTTAAAAACAACAAGCATTTATTATTTCATGGCTGCTGCAGGCCAGGTGTCCAGGAGAAGCTTAACTGAGCGGTTCTGGCTCAGGATCTTCTCAGGCAGTTGCAGGCAAGAGGTCAGCCAGGGTTGCCATCATCTGAAGGCTCTACTGGGGCTGGAGGATTCACTTCCAAGTCAAATGGCTCACTCAAATGGCTAATGGCAGGAGGCCTCAATTTCTTGCCATGTAGCCTTCTTCACAGGATTGCTTGGGCGTCCTTACAACATGGCAGCCAGCTTCACTCAGAATGAGTGTCCAAAAGAGAGCAAGATGGAAACCACCATGTCTTCTATGACTTAATCTCAGAAGTAATACACATCACTTCTGCCACGTTCCATTCATTAGAAGCAAGTCGCTCTGTCTAGCCCACAGTTAAGAGGAGAGGAATTGGGTTCCTCTTGAAGGAAAGAGTATAAAAGGAGTATTAAATAATTTGTGGGCCTAGTTTAAAACCACCACAGCACAGAACTGAATAGTGCAGTGTTCCCAAGTGTTTGGAGGCTTGATAGTCAAGGGACAGGGTCTGGGAAGTCCCCTTTGATGGGCAGAATAACATCCTGCAAAGATGTCCATGTTCTAAGTCCCTGAACCTGTGAATATGTTATGTTACATGGCCAAGGGGAATTAGGGTTGCTAATTGGTTAACCTTAAAATAAAAAGATTAGTTCAGATTATCCAGGTGGGCTCAGTGTAATCACAAGGGTCCTTAAACGTGGAAGCAAGAGGCAGAAGAGTCAGTGTCAGAGTGATGAGGCACGAGAAAGATCCCACGGCCATTGTTGGCCTTGAAGATGGGAGGGACCATCAGCCAAGGAAGGCAGGTGGCCTCCAGAAGGCGGGAAAGGCCAGGAGCAGATTTTCCCCTAGAGCTTCCAGAAGGAATGTCGTTGTGCTGTCACCTTGATTTGAGCCTAATAAGATCCACGTTAGGCCCATTTCTTGTTGTCTTAAGCCATTAAATTTGTGATGATCTGTGACAGCAACAATAGGGAACCAATACAGAGCTCTGCCCACCCTTCTCCTTTTCCCCATTTCTGATCCATTTCTGCTTTCATCACATGCTTATGATTATTGTACTTATTTCTACACTGTCCATATTGTTATTCTGCATGTTTGCCGTCTCACCTTTAAAGCTATAAGCTCCTTTTTTTTTTTTTTTTTTGAGATGGAGTCTCGCTCTGTCGCCCAGGCTGGAGTGCAGTGGCCAGATCTCAGCTCACTGCAACCTCCGCCTCCCGGGTTCCCGCCATTCTCCTGCCTCAGCCTCCCGAGTAGCTGGGACTACAGGCGCCCGCCAACTCGCCCGGCTAGTTTTTTGTATTTTTTAGTAGAGACGGGGTTTCACCGTGTTAGCCAGGATGGTCTCGATCTCCTGACCTTGTGATCCGCCCATCTCGGCCTCCCAAAGTGCTGGGATTACAGGCTTGAGCCACCGCGCCCGGCCTAAAGCTATAAGCTCCTTGTAAACAAGGCCTACATGTGTTTTGAGTTTTGTTTTTTAAATGTTTATCAGAAGCACCAAATACATTACTCATCAATTTGCAGCCATTAAGAACCTGACCTGGAGAAAAGGGAATACTTGTCCACTGTTGGTAGGAATATACAGCCACTATGGAGAACAGTTTGGGGGTTGTTCCTCAAGAAACTAAAAATTGAGCTACCATAGATCCAGCAGTCCCACTGCTGTGTATATACCTACAAGAAAGAAAATCAGCATATTGAAGAGATAGCTGCACTCCCACGTTTGTTGCATCACCTTTCACAATAGCCAAGATTCGGAAGCAACCTAAGTGTCCATCAACATATGAATGAGGAAAATATCGTACACACACAGAATGGAGGACTATTCAGCCATAAAAAGAATGAACTCCTGTCATTTGCAACAATGTGGATGAAACTGGAGATCATTATGTTTAGTGAAATAAGCCAGGCACAGAAAGACAAACATCACATGTTCTCACTTATTTGTGGGATCTGAAAATGAAAACAATGAAACTCCTGGATACAAAGAATAGAAGGATGGCTACCAGAGGCTGAGAAGGGTAGTGGGGGGCTTGGGGGCAAGGTAGGGATGGTTAAGGGGAACAAAAGATAGAATAAGACCTACTATTTAATAGCACTACAGGGTGACTACAGTCAATAACTGTACATTTCAAATAACTTACAGAGTAATTGGATTGTTTGTAACTCAAAGGATAAATGCTTGAAGGGATGGATACCCCATTCTCCATGGCATGCTTGTTTCACCTTGCATGCCTTTGTCAAAATATTTCATGTACCCCATAAATATATACACTTACTATGAACCCACAAAATTAACCATAATAATAAAATTCCAAAAAAAAAAAGAACTTGGCCAGTTATTTATTAGATGGTAGAAGCAGCCAGCTTAGCGAAGAGATGAAACAAGGAGGAACTGGTGTGAAATAAAATATGAAATCCCATAATTCCTCCTCCTTCAAATTGAAGCCAAAGAATCACACCGAGGGCAGGATAGTTTCTGAAACACTGTTTGCTCTGTATCTTCTTTACTCTCATTTCAAGCTGGCAGTTAAGCTTCACCTTCCCTCAGTCTGGGACTTTGGGGCAGGCGCAGCATGGCCCACAGAAGGTTGGGTGGTCACTGGCTCCTCTCCACCTTTGTAAAGGCCTGAGGCCTCTGAAGGAAGGTTCCCTTTGGGGGTGGAGGGAGGGAGAGGAAGCCTTCAAGGGGGTGAGAAGGGTGGATCTCCAGAACCCAAGAAAGCCACCCAGTTCCTATGAGCAGCAGGGACCTGAGTCCTGCTTGGTGACAAGACCTCAGACGGGTGTGGTGCAGGCAGAACTCAAGGCCGAGGGGTTCCCTGCATCACCCAAGACACCCAGGCCCCATGCACAGGTGGAAGCTGATTACGTGGAGGGAGCGAGTGGGCGGACCAGGCAGCAGGGTCTCTCCTGAGACCACACAGACTGATGTCTGCTATCATCAGGGGCCCTCCGCATGCTCTGACCTGGGACCTTTGCAGACCCAGGTAGAATGGAGGGAGCTGGTGGTTGGGAGGACCCTAAGATGACTAAGATGGAATTTCCCACCAATCCATCAGGAAGCAGGGGGAAGTGTTGGAGTCTGAAATACCCTGATACAGAACCAAAAAGAATCGACCTCCACACACTCGAGTTTTGGACTGGAACTCAAAACCATGACATCCCCTTTGGCTTTGAATGAAGGCTTTTAATCTCCAATGGAGGCCTGGGGTCGGGGTGGTATTTAAGAGGACAAGAAGCCCTGACTGTGCAGCTTAAGGAGCGGGGAGGAGATGAACCGGACCTGCTGGTAGGTTCTGCGGCTGCGCTAGGTTGGAAACATATTCGATGTCACTGGGGTTGAGGTACAGATAAATCAGAAGGCAGCTCCAGAAGCCAAGGGTGAAAAGGGTGCCCAGACTTGGTGTGAATATTTCCCGCTGGATGGGGAGAAACGGCAGGACCTGAGGCAAGGTCAGTTCCGCCGCTGGTGGTGCACCCTCCCCACCGTGGGAGCCCCGGGCAGCAGCCTCTAGGCTGGGCGACCCAAGTCCTCCTTCCTGGTGCCACATCCTCTACGACTGAGTGTGCTGGGTGGCAGCGTCTGCTAACAGTCCCTACTCCCTGCGCAACCTCAGGAGGGGTGTGATGTGAATGCGGCTGGGAGCACATGGCCTTGGGCAAAACAAGGCACCCGACTGAGACAAGGCACATCTCGTATGGCTCTACCTACCCCTGATTGTAGTTGTTCTTTAGAGCACACAACAAGCATTTCTCCTGCAGAGGACAGAAACGGCACAAGAAAGATCAGTTTCCCCTGGTCCAAGGAGGGCAGCCTGCGAGAAGCCTCATCTGCCCTTGCTAAAGGGAAGGACAGAATAAGAGCATGGAGCCGGCAGGCAGGCGCATCCAGGGGCAAGTGCTGCACGGTCACAGCTAAGGAGGCGCCACCGGCCTAGAAGGCAAAGCAGGTCAGGGAGGGCGCAGGCTCGGGCGCACCCAGAAGTCCCTTCACTATGATACAGCACAAGCTCGGGGAAGTCACCAGGGAGCAGGAGCCAGGGGCCTGGCACCAGTGCTGGGCTCGGGCAGGGCTTCACTTACACAGCAGGGCCCGCACTCATGAAGGGGATCCAGTGAGCCCTGTTTTTTTTGTGGTGCCATCGTCTTCTTGTGAAGAGCACAGGGTGCTCCATTGGCTCCACCCGCTCCATCCATTTTCTTGGGCCTGAGCTGTGGTTCTCTGTGAGTCTTTCCCATCAACCTGAGTTCCTGCTGTTCCTTTGGTGCTCTTCTAAGGGGGCTGGGGGAGGAGGGCCAGGGAGGGGCGGAGAGTTGGGGAGACATTTTCCAACATGACAAGGAGATAACCAGTACACAGGTGGCCGTGGAAGGCCTTGACTCCAAGTCACAGGGGCAGTAGGAGCCAAGACAATTCCTCCAAGAGTCTGGGTGTCCTCTGAACCCAAAAGGGATTCAACAAAGGGAAGGGAGGAGACCCTTTAGGGATGAGGAGAGACGAGTGCAGGTTACACTTACAGCTTATAGTTCTTCTGTGTATTTATTAAAATGTCCATCTTCTCATCCATATCTTTCTGCATTTCCTTCAAGAGAGAATTCAGAACTAGCATCTGCGTTTTGAAGGGCTTTGGAAATACCTTCCTCCCACCTCTCTGCAAACCATTCTGCGTCTTACTTCCTCAAGAATCCTCGCTAGACTTGGGTGAGGTGGCTTTTGGAGTGTTCATGACATATACAGCTTCTCCCCTTCCTCATCCCCATTCCCCAATGAGACAAAAGCACAGGCAGAGACATCAGGGGACTTTTCCGAAGTCTCTAGGTGAGCCAGAGGCCAGCTACTGTTTTACCTGATCTCACACTTTGGATAAAACCAATGCTTGTCTTGGTTTGATGCCTATAAAATGATGGAACCAAGAAGACCAATCTTGTGACCCCAAAGACACTTTGCAATGTTTTGACCCTTGCCATGCACCCCGATCCTACGTATTTGTGTTTGCTTCATCTTTTACCTAATTCCTGGCAAAGATGGTCAACAACAAGTAAAACTGACAGCAGCTAAAGGGATACATCACATGTATTATTCACTCAGAACAGAAAGAATAATACAATTTTGACAAAGTTTTGATCTATAAAATTCGACCTGGGTAAATCGAATGGAAATAGTGGACATTCTAAGATGGTAGAAGCCATAATTGACAATATTTGTTACAGACAAAAACAGGTTTGAGTTGTCATAAAATAGAAATAAAAGGAATTTATTCCAATAAAATAATTTTCATTAAAAATGAAAGATTTGGTAACAGTTTAATTGATGTACTATAGAAAATTGATCAAGAAATCACACTGTCTGCATAGAGATGATTTTATAAAATACCTTCTTGAAAAACATTTTTAAATGTTAATACAAATTTGAATAAAATATTTGTATTCATAGACTCAAAATATCCTTGAAGTCAATGTCCCCTAGGTCCAAAACATCAGAGTCAAAATGTCCCATATTCTTACATGTTTCACCAACATGTACCCCTTCAAAATCATCATGTTCCAAACTGATTTCATTTTCCCAAGCTAGCTCTATCTCCCCACTGGCATTGTCATTGTCACCACTTTCTTCTAATCATCCAGATTAAAATTTGGTGTCATCACGGATGCTTGCCTCTCGAGACTTCAGTCTCCGTACTGAATCGGTCACCAGGAACTGTTATTTTTCCTTCAGTGCATCTTTCAGATTTATCTTTTCCTTCTTTCCCTACACCTGGTCCAGCTCTGGTGTCGCTACTGCCAGGCATCTCCACCTGCTCCCCGGGCCCCGCCCAGGCAGCCTTGCGAACAAACACCTGCTGGGCTAAGCTTTTTGAAGTGCTGCTCCCAGCATGTTCTTTGATTAAGAATCTCCAGAGGCCTCTTGCTGCTCACAGAACCAAGTCCTAGCTTGTCTGCGTGTCTTTCAAAAGCCATCATTACCTACAGCCTTTGTGCCCATTCATTTTTTTCCCCCTCAGTTTCCCCCAGTGGTCCCACTTCATGACTGATCCCCGTGCTGACCACCATATACAATAGCTCCTCCTGCCTCCTGCCCTGCTCAAGCTGTTCCCCTGCCTGAAATCGCCTCCTTTATGCCTTTCCATACCCAGCCTCCCCACCAACAAAACACTTACTTTGTTTGGATTTTAACAGAGAAATAATTAATGCATGTCCTTTGTAGAAAATTTGGACAACACAGAGGGATATAAAAGTATGAATATTCTCATCCAGAAATAACTGCTATGAACCCCTTTGGTATATTTTTTTCCAGTCTTTTTTCCGTATATTTACTTACTTTTTTTTTTTTTTTAACCTAGCTGAGATCAGCCTATGTATATTACTTGCATCTTGTTTTTTTAGTTCTCATTATATTCTTTCTAAACATTTTCTTTAATAGTTCCTAACTTTTATTATATAAATATTTCATAATTTATTTGGCTATTCCCCTACTGTTGAAAATTGAGGTTGTTTCCAAATTTTATTATTACAAATAATCCTGTGATGAACGTCTTTTTATGTATACCCATGATGGCATTTCTGATTATTCTCATAGGTTAAATTCTGAGAAGTGAAATTGATAAATCAAGAGGTTGATTTTTTTATGTCTAGTATCTAACAATGTTCCAGTTTTGTACAAATTTGCACTCTAATTAACAGCATAAGAGCATTTATGTCTTGTACTATAATTGTCATAAATTAAAAATTTGCTTATTTGAGTGTAACAATAATTGTTCATTTGCATGTATTTAATTATGAGGTCAGGCCTTCGTTAATATGTTTATTGCTTTTTAGTTATATTCTCTTCTGTGGATTGTCTGTTCACACTCTTGTCTATTTTCCTACTTAGTTCTTATTGATTTGTGTGAACTTTACATGTTATGGATAAAAACCTTTTTTCTGTGCTTACATTTGTGGAAATATGTTCCCCCCAAACTGTTTTTTTAATTCTGTAAATATAAATGATTTTTGTGTCATAATTCTTTTAAAAACTCTTACATAGCTAAATATATCAATATTTCCTTTGTAATTGCTTCCATTGTATTTATATTTAGAACTTCCATTTACATATTTACTTAAAATTTCTTCTTATTGGTTTTTATTATTTATTTATTTATTTTTTTTTTTTTAAATTTTTTTATTTTTATTTTTATTTTTTTTTGAGACGGAGTCTCGCTCTGTAGCCCAGGCTAGAGTGCAGTGGCCCGATCTCAGCTCACTGCAAGCTCCGCCTCCCGGGTTCACGCCATTCTCCGGCCTCAGCCTCCCGAGTAGCTGGGACTACAGGCGCCCGCCACCTCGCCCGGCTAGTTTTTTGTACTTCTTAGTAGAGACGGGGTTTCACCGTGTTAGCCAGGATGGTCTCGATCTCCTGACCTCGTGATCCACCCGTCTCGGCCTCCCAAAGTGCTGGGATTACAGGCTTGAGCCACCGTGCCCGGCCGGTTTTTATTATTTAAAATCACTTCATAGACTAACTTTATAGTGTTACGTGGCTTAAGGTTTTCCTTCATATAGTCAAACAATGTTTCTAATATTAATACCTAATCCTTTCCTTCTCACTAACATCAAAAAATCACCTTTATCATATTGCAAATTCTATAGAGCTGTGGTTCTCAACCTTGAGTATACACTGGAATCACCTGGGCAACTAAAAACCACCGGCACCTGGACCTCATTCTAAGAGCTTTGACTTAATTGTTATGAGGTGTAGCCTGGACATGGGGAGGGCGTAGGTGAAAGCCTTTCCAGGTGATTCTAATGTGTAGCCAAGGTTAGTAACTGCTGCTAAAGTGTTTAGGACCTGGGTCTCATCCATGGGCAAGCATCTGAATCAAAACGGAGTTTTAAGCAACTCCGGCCCACCCTGGAGATGTTTATTCAGTTCCTCTGGGAAAGGGTGTCAGTAAATAGAGTTTTAAAATTCTCACAACTGATTCTCATTACATCCCAGGCAGAGAGGCTGTTGAGGCGCTATCTATCCCATTTCATTCATGTGTTTGGTTATCCTTGGACTGATTTAATAACTTTGTTTTTATAGTGAATTTTGATATCTGGTAAGGCTAGTGTCCCCTTACAGCTCTTGAAAAATGGGTACCTATTTGCTTTTGCCAGTTCATGCTTCTATATCAGTGCCTCTCAATCTTTCCCCTGGGAACTTGTCTAAAATACAAGGGCCCAGCACCATCTGAACATGAGCCCAGGCTCTGTTTTATTAGTGTTCCAGGCGATTCTGAAACACACCACATGTTGTGAATCACTGCTCTAGAATCTAGTTCATCCTAGTAATTTTTTGAGTTAAAAAAGAATCTTATTGGGCTCTTGATGAGATTTGCATTAAGCTTCCGATGCAGTCTTCAAGGCTTAACTTGAGACTTACTTTCTCTGTAAGGACTTCGCTGCTTACTCCAACTCTCATTCAGTTCTCATGCCTGTAAGCCCCTAACTAGCAAACAACCAATTAAGTATTTGGCTTGCAATTCTGTCTTGCAATGGAATTTGGGACTACTAGCAGATAATAAGCTCCTGGAGGGCAGGGTCTGCTGGTATCTCTTCCACAGTTTCCAGTATGACTGGTCCATGGAAGGCACTCAAGTAATGCTTACCTTCATAATTTCCACAAATTCGTGAAGTTTATCAAAATCCTTGTCCATTAGATCCTTTATCTAACAAGGAAGAAAGGCATGGCTTAACAAAGCACAGAGCGTGTTATTGAGGTTAGTTGTGGCGTCTTTGGGGCATTTTAAGCAAAGGGCAGCAGCTGCTCCTCTGGCATGGACTAATAACGGCCTGTTAGAGTCACTTTCTTCTCAAGGAGTCTGTGAAGGGACTAGGGTGCAAGCACCATCAAGTCAGCACCGCCACCAGCCTTGGCACCGCTTAGATCTGGCTACTGCAAGGCTGCATGTGGAGCTCAGACCACAGCTTCAATTACACTTTCTTGCTTGATTATTCCCTTTTTTCCTAAGGATACTACAGGTGTTGGTTGTATCATAGAAATGAGAGGGTTCCTGCTTTGCAACTTGCTCAGGGGAGGCGAATAAGGAAGACGGGGTTGGTCCCTGACTGCCCCTAAATTCACTTTTCAAATCAGCCCCTCTCACTCAACTTCATCACTAAGGTGACGTCACCCACCCTTATCAAAGGGACACTTTAGGGAGTCCTCAGTCACTCAAAAATTGGGTTTAGGCATCAAACAAGTAAGAAGTGAATAACCTAACACTGAAGCTCTCTGGGTATTAGGACTGAGTTACATTTTTCCATGCAATTCCTGCTTTCCTTCACTATTCAAAGTTAAGGATTGCATTTTTCCTGAAGCTACACTTTTCCTCCATGATATGGAAGGCCTCATCTCGTTACCTGTTTTATCTCCTCCATTTTCTCCTTGAGCTCTTCTCTCACTTCCCTGAGTTCATTCTGAGGAAATAAAATGGAGAAGAGAAGGAGGAAAGAACGATCTAGGATGGAGGGGAAACTGTCAACAGGAGGAAAGAAAAGATCCCGGGGCATTGTCAGAGAAAAGCTTCCAACAGGGAGGAAACAAAGGATGTTGTTGAGACAATAGGATAGACCAGGTGCACTGGCTCACACCTGTAATCCCACCACTTTGGGAGGCCAAGGCTGGGGGATCCCTCGAAACAAGGAGTTTGAGACCAGCCTGGGCAACATTGCGAGACCCCCCATCTCAAAATTAATTAATTAATTAATGTTTTAAAAAGACTATAAGTGGGACCTACAGGCATCATGTCTCTGCCAAAAAATGCACAGCCTGAATCTCATCTGAGGAATCCAACAGACAAAGCCAAATTGAGTGTTATCCCACAATGTAAGTGATCTGTAATCTGTAAAAATGTCAATGTCCCTAGACCAGGTGTGGTGGCTCAAACCGGTAATCCCAGCACTTCAGGAGGCCAAGGCCGACAGATCAGCTGAGGTCAGGAGTTCGAAACCAACATGGTGAAACCCTATGTCTACTAAAAATACAAAAATCAGCCGGGCGTGGGGGCAGGTGCCTATAGTCCCAGAAAGTTGGGAGGCTGAGGCAGGAGAACTGCTTGAACCTGGGAGGCAGAGGCTGCAGTGAGCCGAGATCGCACCACTGCACTCCAGCCTGGGTGACAGAGGGAGACCCTGTCTCAAAAAATAAAATAAAAATAAATAAATGTCAGTGTCCCCAAAGACAAAGAACTGTTCTGTTCCAGATTATCGAAAAGACACCTGGTAATTAGAGGCAATGTGTGATCCTGGATCAGACCCTGGACCAGAAAACGTCTCCTTTCTGTTGTTAGGAAATACACTTGTGGGACAACTGGTGAAATTAGAACAAAGGCTATAGATGAATCTTGTCTCTGAGTTAACTTCCAGATTTCGGTAATTGCACTGCGCCTACATAAGAGGATATTCTTGTATTTAGGAAATAGGCACTGAGGACTTGGAGAAAACTTACTCTCAAGTGGTTCGGAGTATAGACATGCCTCCGAGTTCACGCACTCACCTTTAGGTCCTGTGTCACTCCTGCTTTGGTAAACCGCCCTTCTTGTTTAACTGCTTTGTAATCAAATGTCTGCGGATTGAAACAGGAACACAGACTGTTGGGAATTGCAGAGGGGGTGGAAGTGCAGAGGCAGAAGAGATCCCCCGTGTTTCTGTTCCTCCCTTATGGTTAGGGCAAGGGGAAAGCTGGGGGCCCCACCTGTGCAGAAGGTTCCTCTCTCCTCCTCCCTCTTTCAGCTCATCTGGTTCCACTCCCCTGCTGGCCCACAGGGCCTCGGCTCCTTTTGTCCCAGGCTCATTCCTACCTTGGGCCTCAGTGCATGCTGCCTCCTCTGCCTAGAAGGCTCTTACTCTGCCTTTGCAAGGCCAGCGTCTTGTCCTTCAGCTCTCAGCTCAAAGGAAGGCCTTTCCCTACCACCCACTTTACGGCAGCCACTAGCCACGCCTCCTGTCTTAATTCCCAGAAGAGCAGGTGACACTGCTGAATGAGTCCTGGTTCATTTATGCATCTGATTGGTTACAGTGTGAAGTTCTATGAGAGCAAGAACTCTCAGTGCATCTCCCAGCACCTGGCACAGGTCTTGGCCACTAGGATCAGCAAATGACCCCTGACTCCAGGTCACTTCCCCATGGATCTCAGGCCTGGCTGCTGGCATGGCCTCAAAAGAGCTTCTTACTTTGGTCGGCTCTGGCTTCAATTCCAGGCAAACTGCCTTGTAGTTCTTGCTCTGCCAAAAGAGGAGACTGGGATTCAGCCTGGCAGGCATCAGTACTGGGGAGGAGAACATCTGGCCCTTGCACAGGAACCCTGCAGCCCTGCCCCCCTCCCCGGCACCTCCACCCCACCATGCAACACTGCCTGCCCAACTGGCTTGAGCTCAGGCTCACAGACCCCGCAGCACCCGGATCCGATTCCTGACAACTCACATCTTGTGGTGCTGTCCTCTTCCTATGGGGGTGTGTCTGCCTGTTTCGCAGGCAGCCCTGTCCCTGCTGGAGGGGCCAGCGTGGAGACAGCACTTTAGGACAACTAGAAGCAAGCCCCAGAGTGTTGTTTCCAGAGTAAGGGCTTCGGCCACGGGCAGATTTGCGCTCTAATCTCAGCTGACCTCTCTACCAGCTCTGTCATTTTGGGTGAGTTGCTTAGCCTCTCTGAGCCCCCATTTCCTCATCTATAAAATCGAGGTGATGATCATACTTATCTAATAAGGTTATTGTGAGCCTTAGCCTTGCTGGTTAGATGCGGGCCTGGCAGGCCTGGCCTGGGCCGTGGTATCATGAGTGCTCCCTCGGCAGTGCTCCTTGTCCCCAGAGGGAGGCAGCAGAGGCCTCTGTCCTTCCCACCCCAGGGCCAGGGATTAATGTCACACCCCGTCCAGACAGAGAGGCTGCTTTATGCTCAGAACAGAGAAAAAAAACAAAAAAAACAAAAACCAGAGGTTCATGGGAGTGTTCTCTGTGTCCCCTGCCCTGCCACCACCTCCATTCAGTAGGAGCTCAGAGAGGACCCACACTGTCCAGCCATGTCTCTTTTACCAGATGTGTTTTCTTCAGTTCTGCCCTCTTGGCCGACATGATGGAGGAGGCCAGGGTGTTCTTCAACTCCCCACAATAGCCCCCGGGACCAGGCCACTGTCCTAGGCAACATACAGGTCAAGGTGAGGGCAGGGTGACCACCCCTTTGTGTACGGAACAGCTGAGGTCACAATGCCCAGGACCCACATGGTGGTCCAGAGTGTCACCACAGCTTCAGGCCTGGGGGGTTTTGGCCACTGAGATGAGGGGCTCAGGCCAGGTTTCAGAGTCCCACCAGGCCTCCCTCTTGCAACAGAAGGAAAGTCCACACTGAGGGGGACCATAGCCTGCTACGGCTGAAGTGCAAGGCACGTGTCAGAAGCAGAGGCTCCTTCTGCAGCAGGACTCACCTACTTACTCAGAGGGACATCCTCCAGGGACAGCCACCTCCTCCTCTGAGCGCACAGCCCATGTCCTCTGCTGTGCACTCCTCATGCGAATGGACCCCACCTCGGACCGGAAGCCACCTTGGGTTGGCGGATGCCCTGAAGTCGCTCTGGTTCAACGTGCATGCACTGTTTGACTTAACCTGGGATACTCTGTATGAGGTGGGGTAGCCAATCTCAGCAGGATGGTTTCTGATGCCTCTGACCTCACACTGCCGCTGTCCCACAACCACCCCCTGAGCCCTGCCCACCTAAAAAGTCTATTTTCCTTGTTCTTCTATCATCCTGGAAGAGAGCTGGGACAGAAGCTAAAGATAAGAAGCTTTTGGGGCAAATAAAGAAGAATACTAAAGAAAAGGCCATTCTGAGGGTAGCCATAGTTTGTGCTAAAGTAGACAGTCAGGGGAACATGTCACCCCATGGGATAAAAAATCACTGGGGATCTGGATTGGTGAAATTGATTTCTCTTTCCTCTTATCACTGGGCATTCACTTCCTTCTTCCCTCTCATTTCAGCTGCTAGTTGCACAGAAAAGGCCAGCATGGACATCTGAGGACAGACAGCACAGGAGTACAGGAACTAATGCAAATTGCATGTGAATGACATCTCCACACAGGCCGCTGCTGATCACACTCACCCTCCCGTTTCACGTGCCTGCTTGAGCCTATCCTTCCTGGAGGCTGCTGGCACCTCTGGAGCCACCTGCAGTGCTTCTGATGCATTTCCTCGGTGGTGATTTCCCAGCCCCGACACTGGTGACAGCTGTGGGTCTTACTCCACCGCAGCCAGAGGAGAATGTGTCTGCCACTGCATCAGGGGAAGGAGAGGGAGTTGGGGGTGGTCACCAGCTTCCCAGGCCTCACTTTCCCCACTTATAAATGAGGGGCTGGAACTTTTCAGTTTCCTTGGACCGTTTAATTCAGCCCTCCCAGATCTGATGGCTTCGTGGTAGGAATGCCCTTTCTCCAAGGGAATTACAGTGAAAACAACTGACTCCACCTCAACATCCACTAGCCCCGTGAAAATGGGCACCACCTCCTTCTGCTAGTTTTGGCTTGGGGGCCTCCTGGACCTGCAGCAGAGCTTCCCTTGCTTGGCTGAGCAGTTGTTAAATGAGCTGCCTTCTAGCCAAGCATAGGACATGAGCCCACTGGCCTATCTATTAGGAAAGAAGGTCTAAGAGAAATCAGTGTCTCAATGCAAAACCACTTTATAAAGCAAAAAATTATCTATGTATGTACGCATGGTATTATCACTTGGGCAGAATTTTAACTACAGACCCACAGCTCTGGGCTTGTGCCTTCTCACAGCATTTACTATTTATGTTTTCAAACATTGTACACCATTGTTTTATCAATATGTTCTGGAGGGACTGGGGAAATCCATGCGGCGATCCTGAATAATGATTATTTACTTATGAAGAGACAGGATCTTGCTCTTCCTCCCAGCCTGGAATGCAGTGGTATGATCATGGCTTATTGCAGTCTTGAACTCCTGGACTCAAGAAATTCTCCTGCCTCAGCATCCTGTGTAGCTGGGACCACAGGCATGCATCACCCTACTCCCAGCTAATTTTTAAAAATTTTGGGGGAGACAAGGTCTCACTATGTTGCCCAGGCTGGTCTCGAACTCCTGAGCTCAAGGGATCTTCCTACTTCGGCCTCCCAGAGCCACCATGCCCAGTCTGAATAATGATTCTCATATTCTTGCAAGAAGCTTTTGCACCTGCAAGAGAAACTAGGTTGAAGCAGTGTTGCAGCGTTGGTATTGCTGTGGTGTAACTTTGTTCTAGGTAAGCCATAGGACGTTCTTACTTGAAGAATGCCAGACACGCTTTTCCTAATCTCCCTTCAGAGCAAAACCCATCTGTACCAGGGCAAGCAGCGTAGAGCCCACTGCTGTTCCATCAGAGTTTGGGGGAAAAGGAATATTCACAACAGACAGAAAGAAGCAGCCACCTGTCTCTGTTCTCCAAGTTGATATCATTTGGGTTTCATTTTCTTTACCAGGGTCCTGCTTTGTTTTCAGTTTTATGGATACAGTGTTGTGTGGGGAGGGTGGGGTCGGGGGGAATTTTAAAATGGTCTTAGGCCTCTGAGTTTGGCCTCCTGTGATTCTGTGTCTGCCCCATGATGAGGTCCTGGCTCAGCCACTCCCCACGTCAAGGCCCAGAGAGCATGAAGAGAACGTCACGTGTGCCGAAGGGCCTATTTGACCACTGGGGGACCAATGTTCTAAAGTCCTTTGATTAGGGTGGAACATTTCATAAAGACCTAGAATCCCACGGGCTTTGCTGTCCAGCCAAACTCAAACAGACACGGCTCAATACATGTGACCTAGACGACTCACACTTAGAATGCCCTGGCTCTTTACATCCCAACGGACTGCAGTATCTGGGTGGCTGCCCTCAGCCAGAGAGGATCTCTGGCTCACAGCCCCAAGAGAACCTGTTACATACCATTTTTAGAGATCTCACATGATTGATTCCTGTGTTGTCCTACTTGACTGATTTGTAGACACCTTGGAAAGCTTTACTCTGTGCAGGGTAGAGATAGCTTTTATCATTGGCACACTGATTACTATGCAATTTCTGATCATTTGTATCATAGTGTATCAGACCTTGGCTAGAATCATAATCCTATTATGTTGTTTCTTTGGAAAACTTATATCCAGTTTTTATCATATGAACTTCCCGGTACCTCCATTTCAGGAACAAAACAACATAACAGTCTGAACAGATCATTGTAAATCTCCGGCTATTTCAATACAGCCAATGACAAGTGAAAATTCTGAGCAAATGTATTGTGGAAGGAGCTTATCTTCTGTAAGTTCACCATGAACTTACAGAAGATAAGCATGGCACATGCTTGCCAGGGCCTCCCAAGACCCAGGGGAACCCGTTACTCTTCCCACAACCAACCATCACAGGGCACCTGCCATGTGAGATAAAGTCAACACCGCCAGCCAGCAGAGGCTCTCCCTGCTCCTGCCAAACAGGGCTCCTGAGACCTCCTTACTTAGCCGGTTCCCTTTACCCTCTTTGGATGGAACCCAGAGTATGGCGATGATTTCACGCCTGTCTCTCTCAGCTTCCCTGCTGGAAGGTGCTCTGCAGTTGCAATTCCCTCCCCTAATAGCCTCCTCTCCATCTCTGACAGCTTCAAATTCCCATCCATCACTGAAACAATCAAACTGAGTGGCACAGTGGCCTCTTGGGACTTGCCTTGTTGGGGGACTGTACTTCACACGGGGTCCATGGAGAGTGGAATGTCTCAGACGGGAGGGCTCCTTGGGTTAGTCCTGGGAATAGCCCTCATCTCTCCCACTCACATTCCTTTGGCTGGAACATAATCACAAGGCTATATCTCACTGCAAAAAGGCTGGGAAATATGGCCAGTTTCTCCCAAGAATAAGAGGAGACAGGCTGATGGGGCAGGTAGCTAATCTCGGCCATGTTTTCCTGACACATTGCGTCTTCCTTATTCCACTCTAACATGTCTCCTCATAAAAAAACTTGATTTAGAGTTCTTCCGCTCTTAGGGTAAAAGGGAGGTAGCTTACAAGGTCCAAAAGCGAAGCCAGTAGCTGCGTGTGGTGGTGTATGCCTGTGGTCCCAGCTACTTCAGAGGCTTAGGTGGAAGGATCGCTTGAGCCCAGGAGGTCAAGGCTGCAGTGAGCTAGGATCACACCACTGCACTCCAGCCTGGGCAACAGAATGAGACCCTGTCTAACTAAAAAAAAAAAAAAAAACAGGAAACTTACATTGGACACTCAAACAGAATGAAATCTCCCAGCAAATGTGAACTGGAAGAGTTAGGATTAGGGTTAGGGACTTGCCTCTGTGTCACCCAAATGGCCAGTGGGCTGGAGCATTGAGACAGAGACTGGAATGATGATCCTGTTCGTCCAGGGCTTTCCCGTGCAATAGTTCCAGTATATCTCAGTCTCAGTCTAACCCAGTCTCATTTTGTGGAAGGCCCTGCAAACCTCCCTCCCCACCACAGGCTTCTCCCCTCCTGCGGCACGGAATGTGGGTCTGGTCTACACTTCCCTTGCTGTTCTAAGCCCTCTGAGCAGCACTGAGGCCCAACCAAGTTGCCTCAGCTTTGCCGGCCCCTTCCTGGGGGTTGTGCCCTGCTGCTGTCCTCTTGGCTGAGAATCCATAATCTGCTTCAGCTGAACCTTTGCGTCCAGCCCCATGAAGCCATCTGAACTTGATTCCTGCCTGGAGATGCCAAATGCTGGGCCCCACCCACCAAACATGGCAATGACTCAGATTGAGCCAAGTCTTTCAGAACCTGGAGATACTGACTGCTGATTGGCATCCGGTGGGGTCAGCCTGGCCATTGACTCTTTTACATCTGGTTTACATCTGGTTTCCCTCCTTCCCTTGAACGTTCTGCCCCAGAGGTCATTAGGACCTCAGAGCTCAGCCTATGTGAAGATTGGCCCAAGAAGTTTGAATCTTCTCTTGGTAGGGGTTTGGGCCTGGGCTGGAGACAGAGCATCTTTTTTTTTTTTTTATTTGAGACAGAGTTTCACTCTTTTCACCCAGGCTGGAGTGCAGTGGCGTGATCTCAACTCACTGCAACTTCCACCTGCCAGGTTCAAGCTATTCTCCTGCTTCAGCCTCCCAAGTAGCTAGGATTACAGGAGCCCACCACTACGCCTGGCTAATTTTTTTGTATTTTTAGTACAGACAGAGTTTTACCACGTTGGCCAAACTGGTCACAAACTCCTGACCTCAGGTGATTCGCCCACCTTGGCCTCCCAAAGTACTGAGATTATAAGCATGAGCCACCGCACCTGGCCTAGAGCATCTCTTACCTGGGGCTGTGGGGTGGTAAAAGTGAGGAAACTTGTAAAGCCAAGAGTCACGTAGAGAGCTGAGGTCAATGTACTAAAGAAAACTGGTTAAATGTGTCTCCAGAGGGGCCAAAGGCAGATCCTGAGAGCGCTGGTGAAGAGACTCAGGGGAGACGAGAGAAGTGAGGGAACTGATGCTGGCATAGACATGGCCAGCCTGGGAGGTTCTCATCGGTGACTGAGGGATGAGTAGGGAGAATCCGGGTGCATTTAAAGACAAAGAATTAAGCAGCTTCCAAGGGGGTTTGCTCCTTTCTTCTTGTTGCATCACTGAGCCCTGTGCAGGGCTGTGGAAGAGGCATAAGTGACATTACTCTTCTGGGTGGCAACATGTATGAAAATTGCCCTCTAGGGAAAGACAACTTGAATTGAATCAAACACTAGAGTAAGCTGCACTCATTTGCCAAATCCCCTAAACACACATGTGAATTTATTTTTATCTAATTATTGATTAAACCCCATTGATCCCCTTCTTGTGCCCCCATCCCTCGAAAGACCATGATGATCATCCAGAGAAACCCAGCCAGAGAAACACGGATGCCGGCGCCTGCCTGGCTGTCAGCCCCATAGCTCGCCGGCAGGCCCAGGCTCCGGGCCAGGCTGGTCTCAGCAAGCAGCTCTAGTTCAACATGCAGGTGACGCCACACCCATTCCCCTGTTCATTCAGCACAGGCTTCCTGAGCATTCACCTTGCATGGAGCACTCTGCAAGGCACCAGAGGCACACGGGTAATTAAGACATGGTGCTGGCTCCTGGGAACTCACCATCCATGAGGCTCACAGAGGCATCATTGGACCATTTTAGCACAAGATGGTAAGTGTGATGCTTGTGATAGGCCCAGGGAACTGAGGGAGCCCAGAGGAGGGCACAGCCCAGCTATTGGGGCTGGGTCTCTGCCATGTTCATCTGGACCTCATTCCTGGCCTGGTGAGCTTCCCAATACCCTAGCTCCCTTAAATCCTAGCTCCTCTAAATCCTAGCTCCCCTAAATCCTAGCTCCCCTAAATCCCAGCTCCTCTAAATCCCAGCTCCTCTGAATTCTAGCTCCTCTAAATCCTAGCTCCCCTAAATCCTAACTCCTCTAAATCCTAATTCTTCTAAATTCTAGCTCCTCTAAATCCTAACTCCTCTAAATCCTAGCTTCTAAATCCTAGCTCCCCTAAATCCTAACTCCTCTAAATCCTAGCTCCCCTAAATCCTAACTCCTCTAAATCCTAACTCCTCTAAATCCTAGCTCCCCTAAATCCTAGCTCCCTTAAATCCTAGCTCCTCTAAATCCTAGCTCCCCTAAATCCTAGCTCCCCTAAATCCTAACTCCTCGAAATCCTAATTCTTCTAAATCCTAACTCCTCTAAATCCTAATTCTTCTAAATCCTAGCTCCTCTAAATCCTAGCTCCCCTAAATCCTAGCTCCCCTGAATCCTAACTACCCTAAATCCCAGCTCCCCTAAATCCTAACTACCCTAAATCCCAGCTCCTCTAAATTCTAGCTCCCCTCAATCCCAGCTCCCCTAAATTCCAGCTCCTCTAAATCCCAGCCCCCCTAAATCCCAGCTCCTCTAAATCCCAGCTCCCC